TTTTTTTTTTCTTCATTATTTGGCAGCAAGCTCTTACTCTAGTATTTGTGGAGACAAAGAAAGGAGCTGATTCGTTAGAACATTGGTTATACATGAATGGTTTTCCTGCTACTACTATTCACGGGGACAGATCTCAACAGGTAAAGAAAGTAACAAAATTAAGTATATTTTCAAATATATTTTCTAAGTCATGTTTTGTGGCATACATCACAAGTGCTTACTGGGTGTATATTTTATCTTTGAGATAGTTTAGTATTTTGAGTTTGCATTACATAAAGCAGCTGGTAAAAATACTAGGATGCAAATAGATGCTATCAAACGGGGAACCTATTCCTTGATAGGCAATATTTTTCAAAAGGTATTTTATTAGGGCACCACACCACTGTGAAAAACATCATTTAGCAGACTTGGGACTCTTGTGTATTTGTTAAGAGTAACTCAAACCTCAATACGGCTGTGTTTGTATTTTGTCCGAAATGTTATGCAGACTTTCTGGCAGTCTGGCTAAGCCTTAGTTTTCATAATTATCCATCAATTACTACCAATTTTCTCAATCCCCTTTGATCTGTACAGGAAAGAGAGCTCGCTCTAAGATCTTTCAAGAGTGGAAAAACGCCGATATTGGTCGCAACTGACGTGGCAGCCCGCGGGCTTGACATCCCACACGTGGCCCATGTCATCAATTTTGACCTCCCCAACGATATCGACGATTACGTTCACCGGATCGGACGTACGGGGCGGGCTGGCAAAACGGGCCTGGCAACGGCCTTTTTCAACGAGAACAACATGTCTTTGGCAAAGCCGTTAGCCGAGCTGATGAAGGAAGCCAACCAAGAGGTGCCCGACTGGCTGACCCGTTTTGCGAGCCGATCGTCTTACGGAGGCAAAAGCAGGCGTGGTGGCGGAAGATTTGGTGGCCGTGACTTTAGAAGGGACTCGTCTTACGGTAAGGGTGGTGGTGGAGATTACTATGGTGGTTATGGCGGTGGATATAATAATAACTCGGGGACGACAAGTGCCTGGGATTAGTGCATCACTATTACATGCGACAGTATATGCACACACATTTTTCATGAAAAACTTGACGACGACGATGATGATGATGATGATTGGCGATGGTAACTTTTGTTCTTGGTTTCGGTTGGAAAAATTATACTATTTATCGGACGATTTTAGTTCAAAAATACTAACTTTGTGTAGTCTATAGTCCCCCAAGAGAGAAGTTTTGGTAGAGAGTTGCAAAGTCATGTGATGGCCACATTGATTAGGGTGGTTGGGTTTATTGTTTATTTGACTCCCTTTGTTGAAGACATTTTTTGGTTTTGGTTTTGGTTTTGGTTTTGGTTTTGGTTCTGATTTTGGTTTTGTGTTGTTTGTATCAACTCTTCTCTTTTCTCTTGCAATTTTAGCAGTTCCCCAACAGTTTTGGGTTTGAAAACTGACCGGATTGAAGAACAAATATTGCATCTATATGCATGCTCTCGTAGCCTGTTTAATGAAGAACAAGTAGAAAAATAGCTAAAATTTAATGACAAATCATTTGTGTTGAAGGCAACCCTTGAACGAAAAAAACAATACAATAAAATCCACGGTACTCGGCAACTTATTTTATCACGTTAATTTAGCAGGAACACAAACCTTTCAACAAACCATTTCCCAAATATAGAAACAAAAAATGCACATCACATTCCTAATCTCCACACGCGCACACACACTCATCGCCGCTAATCATCATCCGAACCATAATCGCTCTCCGAATCACAGTACTCATCGCCCATCTCGATTTCTTCCTCATCACTCTCATCTTCTTTCTCTGCTTCATCACCCACACTACTCAAATTAGGCATCATGTCCGCCGCTTTATTTCGAAAAACCAACCCTGTCCTCATAACATAGTAGAGTTTATCCCTGTAACGGGCGAGGGGGTCCGGATCCACCAGCCTTCCCCTTTGGTACCCCTCTCTTAGGGCCACAGTCGTCGTTTTACACTTTAACGAGAGGTAAAAAATCCCAGGGTACCTCGTGAAAATCCGGGTGAACTTGTGAGGAAGGTTAAGTTCTTCCCTCAGGCACCTCAAGTAATTCCTTTTCGTCTTCTTGTGAATGGTTAAGCCAAGAAACTCGTGCAGAACTCCAACCACCCTTTTCTCCATGAGGTCGCTATCCGGGTCGATGCCGCTTGAGTCCTCGTAGGGCGAGATGTAGGGAAGCTTTTGGAACTCATCCATCCATGCCTTGACCTTGTTTCGAGCACCGTAGCCTCTTGGGAAGCTCATGGGGAACTGCAGAGCGGCTTTTCCTCTCTTGAAGTCACGGTACCCCGTCATGATGTCACTGCTGGCATCGTGATCCCCACCAATGTTCTTCTCGTTCATTTTCTGCAGGTTGGAGATGGAAAATTCCTCACGCCATCGGACAAGCTTCAGGCAAGTCGAGCCGCTCGTGCCCTTGACCACCCGGAAATGATCAGGATACTTTTTGGTAAGGCCTCTGTCGAAATCATCGGGCAGTCCTAAGTCCCATTTCAGATGATGCAGAGATTGCAAAGGTAGCTACACAAATGTGAAGGAAAGAAGAAATCACTCTCACCCCAACAAGTCTAGAAAACCAAAACCGTCAGAATAAAAGAAGCAAAAAGGTTATGTATCATTATGTGACTTGGGCATGAATTCATCAATTACTTCAACCAAACCACTACAATCTAAAATTAACTTCATCAGATAGAAGATCTCAGCAGCGACAACAACGGGAACACACTCCATGAACTTCTAGTTTCCAGAGTTCACACATCGACTGTCATACAAGCTCGTTTTTCGCAGCACAGACCACTATAGCCATTTTCAGATTAATAGCAGACTTCTGTGCAAAATACAGAAAAATACATCATCGGCCCGTGCAATGGGTGCATTATCTCAAACTCGCTCGACAAGTACTCAATCCTATGCAGCTACTTAAACTATTCTTCCCCTTCTCTTCCACATTTATACACTAACTAACAAGAAAGTTCAAAGCTTTTTTCTAATCATATGTACCAAAGTTCGAAAACCAAACATTCAAATCTATACTGAGAAGACTAATGGCTTGTAAAACGCGCGCGCGCACACACACACACACACACACACACACACACACATTACCATCTTATTTCTCGTCATCATCAGAACCCGGCAAAGCCTCTCCACGGTATCACCCTCACACTGCTCAAACACTCTCATTTCCATCTCTTGCAACGTCTTCCCCAGCTGGGTCAACCTAAAGCAGGCCAAAGATGGGTATTTCGGGTGGGGATACTCCTCGAACAGCGAAGGGTACCTCCGGACGAAGCGCATCGTCGGGACGGTGAGGCCCAGCAGCTTCTGAGAATCGAGAAGAGATTTCGAGGTCAGGTATCCCGTGGGAGAGCGTATTATGGCGTCCTTTATCAGGCACGCGGCCTTGATGTCGGTGTGGACGTTGATGATGTGGTCGAGCGAGCGGTTTTTGACCCATTTGAGCCTGACTTTAGCTATCGACCGCCATTGATGAAGATTGTAAGGTAGGGATTTGGTGACCGAATCGAGGAGCTTCAGTTTGGAGTTCATCTGCGGCGTCTTATCTGCTCGTGGTTTGCAGTGCGCGGCTGCGCGCACGGCGGTGTGGAGAAGGAGGAGGAGGTTGGAATGACGTCGTTTGAGCTTTGGGCCTCATTTTGGGAACTGACTCGTCTAAGGCCCGTTATATATGACTTTACCTGGGTTTTTCATCTTCGCTATTCGGTACTAATTGTCTTAAAGCCCAAATTAGATTTTTAATTTTGGCCCGCTAAAATAGAGCTTGCCTAATAAATGGGCTGAAGTCCAACTTAAAATAAAGTTGCTTTTTTCTTTTTTTTTTCCTGTCAAATGGGCTGAGCTCCAGTTATGTTTGGGCTCGAAATTCGGGTCCTGAGTAGGGGTTGATAGAGGTGACAATGACTGACACGACACGAAACACAAACACGTCACATTATGATTATAAAATAGATAAATGACACGATGGATACGGCACGACCCGAAAATGCGATACAAAAGATACGATACATAGACAAATGATAAGATTTATTGATGGAATTTGTTTTGCTAAATTGCTACAAGTATAGATGGGCAGCTTGATGAACATTGAGCTGTATAAAGCAATTTTTCTGTCAGCAATTTGGTGTTGTTTTTAATTTAATTGGATTAATAATGATACGTATATATGAGTGACGATGTCATGTTCGTACGCGTGTCACTCATCTGACAGAATGAATGAAAAACCAAATATGAAAGTGAAAAACAGTGGAGTATATATGAACAGTGAAAGACAAAGAGCTGCATATATGCAGATGGATTTTGAAACTAGAAAAGACAATCAATCATCCTTCTTCTGGGTACTTTGTTTCTGGACCACTTTGAGAGTAATAATAATGCCAAAAATACTACAGAAAAAAAAATTGAAGTATTTTAGTTTATTTTTTCATATGAACAGTGAAAGTAGGAATGTTGGGTCACATTTAAGTGCATGAACTGGACATTTTGCTCTTAGGACCAACTTTAGTGATTGCCATAAACACACCACAAAAATGTTTACTCACATGATGATATATGTAGACTTAATAAAATAAAAAAAAAAAACAAGTTTTGGTATTAAAAAATTTGGTGAAAACCGTATGTGATGTTATATTTTATTTGTGTACGGTAGTTTATATATATTTTTAATAATATAAATAAATAAACCCGATAGATAATTCTTGAATGTGCTGAGCCTAAGTGGCAGACTCGCATGGTTCGGGATCATATGTGGCAATTTTTCATGCTTTCTCAATTGACTTGGATGGAGTATTTTTATTACTCTCAATAAAAAATAGTTAGGTTTGGGATAGCCACAAAAATATACTAGATAATTATGGACATTTTTAAGAGCATTAATTATGTTACATTTTCCTATTCTAGACGTGATATATAAGGTATATATTTATGGAAAATGCTATGGTCTCGTTACGAAACTATTCCGTCGGGATTTGTAACTGTTAGATCAACTATCTCTAACAGTTACATGATAATCTAACGATTACAAATCCCGACGAAATAGTTCCGTAACGGGACCTTAGCATTTCCCCATATTTATTTTCTCAATTTCTTTCCCTTCATCGTTCTTTTATACAAATGATGTCATACATAGTGTTGTTTTTATAATAATAAATATGCGGAATAAAATAGTACTAAACATAATTAATCCTAACACTGTTTATAATTAGAAATAGTGATTTTCACGTTCTCACGTTAAAAGTTTGATTTGTAGGGAACTTTATCGGAAAATAAAATAAGATGGCTATTTAATATAATACCGAGACTTGTGAAAACACAGTGTCCTTAAAACAGATTCGCCGAGTATGAGCGTCTGTTTCCTAGGATACAATGGAAAAACCGAAACAAATCTGACAAACTGGAATTATGCACGGACCAAAACACTTATAAAATGGGGGAATGTTGTTGTTTCTTTTTTTCTTTCTTCCTTTCGTGTTTTCTTCTCCTCAAAGAAGACCATCTCTTTATAAGATAAAGAATGGTAACTAATATAATGCATTTAATTTAACTTTAATAGACTTAAATTAAAGAATGTTTCAACTTTATTAAACCAAGTTATAAGTCTATCTTAAAAGTGGAAGACACGTTTCAAAACACTTATTCAGTTTTCATTCACAGTTTTTCTCAACAATTCCCCACATGAATAGAATTAAAAAATAATGTTATGGTCCAACGATTGAAACCTGCATAGGATAGACAGATGTTACCCTTTGAACCTTCTCTTGTGAAAGCACATCAACTTTACTAGCTGACCAGTAGACGCGATGTCTTTGAACTGTTCTGCCTTTTGTGTAAACTATAAATATACTTCACACAGGATTCTCCCTAACGTATTGCAGTTCTCATTATTATGTCCATTAGTGGCCCTAGACATAGCATGTTTCTGTGAGGAGTCTAAGAATTGAGCCTCACACAATTCTCTTCAAAGCGGCCCCACTTCTCTCTCACATAGGTGATTCTTAATTATAAGTAGCCCGTACTTTTTTCTCATACAAGAATCATTAAAAGCCAATGTTTATCCTACTCACCACGGGTATCACTGTTTAAGGAATGGACAATAGATAATATTCTACAATGATCACAAGAGTCTTATTACAATTAGGTTGTCCATTTGAACCAAGATCTTGAGATTTCCAGTCAACAAGGTAGAGTTTCCATTGTATCAACCCATTTCTAGAGGCTTAAGTCCCATTCCTCTCAAAGATTTAGCAACCAACTAACTCTCTATGTAAACCTTTGGTTAACGGATCCTTGAGATTATCTTTTGACTTCACATAATCAATACATATAGTACCAGTTGAGAGTAGTTGTTTAATGGTATTATGTCTTCGACGAATATGTCTAGACCTACCATTATACATGTTATTTTGTGCCCTGCCTATAGCCAATTGACTATCACAATTTATACAAATGGCTGGCACTGACTTTGACCATCTTGGTATATCTTATAAGAAATGGCGAAGCCACTCTGCCTCTTCTCCATTTTTGTCCAATTCTATAAATTCGGACTCCATTGTGTATCTGGCAATAACAACCTGCTTAGAAGATTTCCATGATATGGCTGCACCTCCCAAAGTGAATAAATATAGTGGATTTAAAATCTTTCATATCTGATATCCAGTTGGCATCACTATAAACCTTCAATTACAACTGGATATTTACAGTAGTATATCTCACAATTCCTTTCCAGTGTTCATCTCCTAGATTACTTGTATATCTACTTCGTTTACTCACGGCAAAGGCAATGTCTGGTCTAGTACAATTCATTAGATATATCAGACTCCCTATCACCTTTGAATATTCGACTTGAGAAATACTTTTTTCTTTATTTTTCGACAGATGTTGACTTGTATCTATCGGGGTCCTAGCCTGAGTCGAATCATCCTTGTTAAATTTTTCAAGGATTTTCTCCACATAATGTGTCTGACTCAGCACAATCCCTTGTGATGTTCTATAGATTTTAATTCCAAGAATCACATCAGCTAGACCCATATCTTTCATGTCAAATCTAGAATTTAACTTATCTTTTGTGTATTTAATAATTTTATCATTGCTTCCAACAATGAGCATGTCATCTACGTAAAGACATAGGATCACATACCCCTTTTTCGTGTCTTTAACATAAACACATTTATCACATTCATTAATTTTAAATCCATTTTGAATCATGACATTATTAAACATTTCATGCCATTGTGTTGGAGCTTGTTGTAAGCCATACAAAGACTTAACCAATTTGTAAACTTTATTCTCTTGCCCTGGAGCAAAGAACCCTTCAGGTTGCTCCATACAAATCTCTTCTTCTAAATATCCATTTAGAAAAGCTATTTTTACATCCATTTGATGTATTTCAAGATTTCGTAAAGCTGCAATTGCAATAATCGCCATGATGGATGTTATTCTCGGTACTGGAGAATACGTATCAAAGTAATCAAGGCCTTCTTTTTGCTTATAACCATTAATCACAAGTTTAGCCTTATACTTATCAATTATTCCATCATGTTTCATTTTCCTTTTAAAAATCCACTTGTAGCCCAATGGTTTACTTCATGGAGAAAGATCTCTAGTTCCCATGTGTGATTTTGCAAAATGGAATCAATTTCACTTTGGGTTGCCTCTTTCCAAAGAGGTCCTTCAGAAGAATTTACTGCTTCTGAAAAAGTTTGTGGTTCACTTTCAACCATATAAGTTAGAAAATCTGGGCCGAACGATTTTTCTATCCTGCCTCTTTTGCTTTTCGAGGTCTACCTCAGCATATCCATCTTGATCTTTTTCCATTAGTTCCAAATTTATTTTAGTGGAACTAGAATCCACTTCAGACTTACGTGGAAATATATGCTGAAAAAAAGCATTTATAGATTCAAATATCGTGTTCTTATGAATTTCCTCAATTTTGAATTCATGTACAAGAAAACGATAAGCACTACTGTTGTGTGCATATCCAATAAATATGCAGTCAACAATTTTCGGTCCAATCTTTATTTTATGTGGTGTAGATATTGCTACCTTTTCCAGACATCCCCACACTCGCAAGTATTTGTTAGGGCTGGGCAAAAAATTCGAACCGAACCGCTGAATCGTAGATCCGAATCGAAATCGAACCGAATTTTCGGTTAACCGGGGGACTCGGTTCGGTTACAAATACCTCAAATGAAGTATTTGCTCGGTTCGGTTCGGTTACGGTTTTTAAGATTTTTTTACCCCGGTTAACCGAACTGAACCGTATATTATATTAAAATTTATAAAATATATATTATATTATATATTATATATTATAAAATATATATTTTATTAAAATATATATTATATTATATTATATATTATATATTATATATTATATTTATATTAATGTTTCGGTTCGGTTCGGTTCGGTTTATTATTTGCGAACAAGCAGATTTGTGTTAGGTTCGCTCGGTTCGGTTCGGTTCGGTTAATTCGCGAATAGTAGGATTTTTTTCGGTTAACCGAAAATTCGGTTAACCGAGATTTTCGGTTCG